CGGGAGCTCGGTCCACTACCGCCGCGGGTTCGGCCACTCCTGGGTACCCTAGTGTGGCTTCCCAGATCCCGCCCTTATTTCTGGGGATTTCCCGGGTCCCCCCCCCGAGATCTGGGCGCCCCCTCTGGGCAGGAGGCCCCTTTCCCCACCGTAGGCCAGGCCGGGGACTCTCCACCTCCCGCCCTAGATCCCACCTTCCACGTGGGGAAGCCGCAGAATTTGGGAGAGCCGGGGTGGGAAGGCGCGGGGGAGGGAAATACTAGAGGCAGAGGAAGGCCTGGGCGTCCGCAGGGAGGCGCGGAGAGCCGCTGCCTTTGAGGGAGTCGCAGACCATTTCTTGCAGCCCAGCTCGGCCACTTGCTCGTTGGGTGACTTCTGGCCGGCTCTGGGCCCTCTGGTGTCCAGGAACACCTCCCTCCCGGCCGCCAGCCCGCACACGCCACGCGAGACACCGCAGCAGGGATGGAGACCTAGGAGGGCGCGCCAACCTCCTGCGGGCCTGGCTGCAAGATATCTCATCCACCAGTCTGTGCCAGGTGCTACCCACTGTACTTTGAGCAAAATAAGCCCTTTGATTGCTGGGAGGCTGGCACGATAATCACCCATTTTACGGATGAGAAAACAGATTTACAACTTGACTTAGTCATGGTTCTTTTGCTAGAAAGGAGCCGAGAGTGGATCTCGGGGGTGTGATTCCAAAGTCTGGACTCCTAACTTCCTTACCTTGTGATAACTCGGAATGGCAGACGGGCTCAGAAGCGCAGAGCAGGAGAGACGCAGGGATGCATCAGATGAGAGCCCTACAGGTCCCATCTCTTGGTCTGTTTGCAGCCATAACCAAGAAATGGGGGGAGCTCAGAGGACGGATCCTTGGAGTGAGTGTGTGTTCTATTGAGGAAATCACACAAGGTTGCACGGAGGAAATAGCCTTTGGTCCCTGTCATGAAGGATAAGTGAGTTTGCCCACATATTCCTGAGAGGGAGCATCCTCCCTCCACCCCCAACTTGTTGCTTGTGAAGCTCCCAGTCTCTGAGACCACCTGGGCCCCACCACATCCACACACCCCACTAACTCCCTCACCTAAAAATAGTCTAGGATACCAACTGCTTTGCCAACTGTTCTGGGGCCCATCAGCCAGATGAAACAAGAAAGCCACCGACAGCAAGTCCTTTAGGGACAAATGCACTCATTAATCATAAAGAAACTCCCTGAGAGGCCACCAGCAGCAGGTCATACAAATCCGGCACCACAAGACAGCTTCCATCCCTGAATGCCTGCAGTATACCCTCTTCCATGCCAGGTGTGCACAGTCGTGTTAGGGCACAGGGACACTGGGACAGTCTCACTCCCCTTCGCACTCCCAGCTTCTGGCACATTGCTTACCAGAGCAGGCCCTCGGTGAACGTGTGCTGAATTATTATCAGATACCTCAGTTTACAAATAAGAAAAGTGAGGCTGTTTTTTCTTCTTCTTTGGCACAGGGGAGATGCTTGTCCCGGATCACACAGCAAGGCAAGTATGGAGCTGAGGTTTGTCCAGAGCCCCAGTGCTACCACCTGACACCAGACTATAGAGAGGAAAGACACAGTGATTCCTCCTGCCCTAGAGTGCTGGAATCAGGTAGGATCAGAGCTGCATGGTGGACAGGCCCGACCTTAAGAGGCCTCCAGGAGTCTGAGATGGGCCTGATCCCAGCACTGACCAGATGGGAGAGAAGGTCCTCACTAGGCGTGGCTCAGCGGCTGAGCATCGACCTACGATCCAGGAGATCGCGTTTCCATTCCCGGTCAGGGCACATGCCCGGGTTGCGGGCTGGATCTCTAGTGGGGCACCAGGAGGCAGCTGATCAATGACTCTCTCATCATTGATGCTTCTATCTCTCCCTCTCCCTTCCTCTCTCTGAAAGCAATAATAATAATAATAAAATCAATAAAAATAAATAATAATTTTTAAAAACCCAGATGGGGGAGAAGGGAGAGCTGGGATACGACCAGCACACAGATACCCAAGTTCCAGCCTTGCTCTCTGGCTCTAAGTCCCATGCTCTGTACCAAGAACTCCAGTTTCTTAATCTAACCTCAGTATCAGTATCCTTATTTATAAAATGGGAATAATATTAATATCTTATATTAATAAGGGATAAAAACTTGCAGTTTTCAAAGTAGAGAGATGGGGGACATCTGTAATACTGCCAACAATTTAAAAAATTGCCATGTTGCCTGGCTGGCATGGCTCAGTGGTTGAGCATGGACCTGTGACCCAGGAGATCGGGTTCGATTCCCGGTCAGGGCGCATGCCCGGGCTGGGGGCTCGACCCCCAGCAGGGGGGCGTGCAGGAGGCAACCCATCGGTGACTCATCATTGATGTTTCTCTCTCACTCCCTCTCCCTTTCTCTCTCTGAAATCAATAAAAATATTTTTTTAATTGCAATATTGTTCTGAAATCTCTTTGTTCAGCCCCTTCCTTCTCTCTCTTCAATCTAGATCTTGACCTTATTGCTTCAAAAAAAGAGGGGAGGGGACAAAGAGAGAAACAAGATGCAACGTTTATTTCCTTTCTTTAACTAAAATTTTTAATTTATTGATTGATTTTTAGAGAGGGAAGAAAAGAGAGAGGTAGAGAGAGAAAGACAGAGAGAGAGAGCCCAGCTATCCTCGGAGAGTCCAAGAGTGGCCAGAG